TGGCAGTGGCATCACGGCTGTATTGAACTACAGCGACTTGGTCTCTGTTCTCACCAAGATTTAAGCTTTCAACAACTTTTATGACAAAGCCCCGTATCGCTTCAAAGCCATTCCGTGAGTCATCTGATCCATCAATAAGAAATACTACATCATGTCTCTTAGAATCTGTAACAAACACAAATCATTTACAGCAATGTAAATTTGATTTGTCTTTGGGTAACAAACAGTTAGTGTGAGAGTCTTGAAATAAATCCCTGCTTCACACCACTTAATCTCAATTTAGGCTAAAAGTTAAAATAGTGAAATCTTACCCTTTGCAGCAGCGGTTTGCTCTTCATGGTGGGATGCCCCTCTTAACAACGACATCACAGCCTGTTTAACAGTAGGGAGCTCCTCATAATCAGTAATAGAGAGTGCATAATTGGGCTCATGAGATATTGTCTGCAGCTCAAGGGTGTCAGCATCACTTGTTCCAATGACAATCGGAATGACACCACTCTCCTTGAGTACTTTGACCGGAGCTCTTATGTCATCTCCAGCTCTTCCACCACTCAGTAATATTAGTATCTGTGGTGCTCCCTCAAGGAGTCTACTTCCTGAGTCGGTAGTAAATACATAGTCCTTCACATATTCAAGAGCTGCTCCAATGTTGTGAGGAAAGCCTCCTTTGGGAATGAGGCTTCTTACTGCATCAAGGACATCATCCTCTGTTGTGTAACGTCTCAAGTTAAAACTGATCTCTGCCGTATCACTGTACTGGACCACAGCCACATGATCTTTGTTTGCATCAATGTTTAGGTCCTCCACTATTCTCTGCACAAAATCTCTTATATCTTGGAACTTTCGTTGAGAATCATCAGAACCATCAAGCAAAAAAACAACATCTCTTCCATTGGGATCTGTAATAATTCAGGCATTCAGACAATGTGATGTTAAAATTTGTGATGAAATGTGTTTTGGTCCTGCAAATGTTAAGTTTCCCTTGGTGCAAAACTTGCATTGCTTTATTGGTAGATCATTTTTGCCCAAGCAATCCACATCACTAGAACAGCAATGCAGTCTTGTTTGTTTAAATTCTTTGTGCTTCAAGAACACAGTAAGGAAGACCTAAAACACCTATCCTGACATAAATGCAAAGCTAGGTTTGCTAATCTGGGTTTTTGTTATTAGTGAAATAGTTCAACAATGGTGGAAAAACTAAGATTATTTGAAAAATTATACTATGAGGCTGGTGTAAAGAGTAATGTATAACTTCAGGTCTATGTCATTCTGATAATGCATGAAGCTGTTTAATCAGCATACAACATGAAGGAATTACCATCTTACCATATAATGCTTGGTTGATAGCAGTCGTTTCACCCGTCTTGTAAGCAGTAAATATTTGTTGTTCAATATCTGATAGATCACTGGAGTCCGCTGCCAAAAATGCAAGACTAGGGTCCTGAGAAATAGACTGCATCTCTAGGGTATCTGCATTCCTTGTTCCCACCACAAATACCATCACACCAATTCCTTTTAAGTCTTCAACAGCATTTCTGACATCATCACTGGACCGTCCACCAGTTAAAAGAACCAAAATCTGAGGGACACCCTGTTGGTGTCTACTTCCAGAAGAGGCTGTGAAAACATTATCCTTGACATACTGGAGGGCTGCACCAGTATTAAGGGGTCTGCCTCCTTTGTGCCTTAGACTTTGCACATTGTCAGCGACATCCTGTTGTGTGTTGTATGTGTTCAGAAAAAATGCAACTGAGGGTTCTTTAGCGTACTGCACCACTGAAACACGATCTTTGTTCTCATCCACATTGAGTTTCTCCACCATGCTCTCAACAAATCCAAGAATTGCCTCAAAGTTGTTTTGCATGTCATCAGATGAATCGAGTAAAAATACAATGTCATGTGGAATTAATTCAGTTTGATCTGGGGAAACTTAGACAAAAATAAGGATGATGCATAGTCAGGATTAACATCAGGCATTTAGATAGATAGATAGATAGATAGATAGATAGATAGATAGATAGATAGCCTTACCAAGAGCATTCTGTAGTTTGAGTCTTGGCTGTTGTCGAGGTACTCTTTTCACATATGACACAAGTTGTTGATGAATACTCCCAACATCATCAAACCGAAGCACAGAGAAAGCATAAGAAGGGTTATGTGCAATCATTTGTTGCTCTAGTATGTCTGCATTTCTTGTTCCCACACAGAAGGGAACAACTCTTTCCTGTTTTAGAGCTGCAGCGGCATTTGCAACATCATCTTGTGATCTTCCTCCACTTAACAGAATTAGTATCTGAGGGACACCTTCTTGATTGCGACTCCCCGAGGGACCAGCAAAAGCATTGCTCCTCACATAGTCGAGTGCTGCCCCAGTGTTGAGGGGTCTGCCCCCTTTATGGTTTATCTGCTGGAGAGCAGCAAGAACATCTCGCTTTTCTGTGTAGGAGTTCAAACTGAAATGTGTCTGTTGGTCACTGCTGTATTGGACAAGAGAAACACGGTCTTTGTTCTCACCAACACTTAGAGTGTCTACCACTCTTTGGACAAAACTTTTCATTGCCGGGAACTCATTTTGTGTGTCATCCGAACCGTCCAATAGGAAAACTAAGTCTCTTTGAGGAGACTCTAATTCAACTAGAAAGGAATAGGAAAACCTGTTTAAGAATCAGACATACAGTATAGTACATGAGCTGAAATATTTCATTGTAAAATCCTGACACATTTGGATTAGAAATGCAGCGGTATTCAAGATGTTAATTGAAAGAATATTTAGGAAGACTTGAAGAACAGATGATTGAGAAACGTGAAAAGTAAATACAAAACAGGGAGCGTTTTCCTCTTTCAAGGATGAAAGATTAAGAGAGCTGAAGGTGAACTAGTTTCCTACATTAAATACGCAGTCAATGATTTTGATATCATTGGCTCAAGAAAGAGCTTGATAAAAGAGTAAAATGATGTTTACTGAAGTGAGACTGTCATGAGAAGACTCTTAAGGCTATAAAGAATGAAAGCCAAACAAGGAACACTGTCTGGAGCCAGTGAAGACCGTTTGAGAAATATGAAACTGATCACCTCAGGTTCATCATAAGATGATGCAGTTTCATCACAATTCAAACTATGGAAGATCGAATGAACTAAAACGAAAGCAAGGATTCAGCTGAATTTCAAGTATCGATGAATGACACGTCTTACCTACAAGAGTTGGCGGCTCAATTTGTATTTCTGCCTGGACAAATGCAGCTAACTCTGGCTGAATTGACAAAAGTTCCCCAAAGACAGGCAGGTTGAAAAGAAATCTTGGGGAGAAGGCCATTTTTTGAAGCTCCTTCTGATCTGAGTTTTTCATGCCAATAGCAAAAGACAGCACACCGAGTTCTTTTAAATCTAACGCAGCTCCCGAGACATCATCGCTGGATTTTCCACCGGTCAATAAAAACAGAATCTGAGGGACTCCCTCCATGTGTCTACTCCCCGATGAAGCTGTGAAAACATTGTCTCGCACATATTTCAGGGCAGCCCCAGTGTTCCGAGATCTTCCACTTTTATGGCGCAGACTTCGTACAGCATAGATAATTGCCTTTTTGGATCTGTGTGAATTTAAGTTGAAGTAAACGTTGGTATCATCACTATACTGTACAACTGCCACTCGAACCTTATCTTCATCAATGTCCAGCTCATCTGCCATTCTTCTGATGAACTCCCGCACAGCTGGAAGTCCATTCCTTGATTCATTTGACCCATCAAAGAGAAACACTATGTCCCTCTTATAGCTTCCTGTTTCAATAAGGTGATATATAGATAGAGAGAGAATTTACTAACTGAGCGTTCCAGACATCAATACACTCATGCCTGTTTCTCCACATGAGCAAGTTATAATCTCGGAGGAATAAAACCGAGCAAAAAAGGAAAGAAGAGCAATTGCTCTAAATGTTGTTGCAAGCAGAAATGGTAAAGAACCTCTTTTTATCAAAAAGATGTTCCAAAAAAATATGTTCATCATCTTCAACATTGTATTTGAGATTTTGGAAAGCGGCATAGAGTAGGGATACAGTATTAGAAAAGTTAAGATACAGAGAACAGAGGGGTTTTAGATAAAATATTTCATAGGAAACAGAATCATCAATGTCATGCAACAAAAACCTGGCAAAAATGTCACTGTTTACCAAGATACCATGAATCGTTTGATGCTAGGAATGCATTTGAAATATTCTTGATAGGAAAGAGAAAATAATTGATTTGTGAGACGAATAATGATTGAATGTACTTGTTGAATTCTTACCTACTAAATCAGAGATTCCAGTCAGAGATTCTTCAGTGCCTTTGTTTATGTTCAGTGTAGTTAAAACTTGTGATTGGATTGAGGGCAAATCAGAGTAATCAGTGACCATGAATGTGAAATCAGGTTTGAAGGCAATCTTTTCCAACTCTGAAAGATTTGCTTCCCCAACTCCGACAACCACCGGCACAATTTCATGCTCTTTGAGTGCCAATGCTGGGCTCATTACATTATCAGTGGATGGTTTAGCACTTAGAAGAATTAAGATCTGGGGCACTCCTTCTAGTCTTCTACTGCCCGTGGAGGAGGTGAAGACACTGTGCCTCACAAACTGGAGAGCTCGTCCAGTATTAAGTCGCCTTCCACCTTTGTGCCTTAAGTTATCAATGGCTTTTATAACATCAGTGTTTGATTTGTGTGAATTGAGCTCAAAATAGACTTCAGGGTTATCAGCAAACTGAACCACAGAAACTCTGTCTTGGCTCTCACTGACAGAGAGGCTCTCCACTATGCTTTTAACAAAGAGTTTCATCACAGGGAATCCATCTCTTGTGTTATCAGAGCCATCCAGCAGGAACACAATATCTCTTTTTACACCATTGCTTTGTACTAAGACACAACAAATAAGACACTGTTATTCCAATAAAGAGCCACCATTATTAACAAAAGTGTTGTTTTTCTTGCAGCATGTTTAAGACATCAATAACAAAAGAGATTCTCTTACCGACTCGTAAGACTTCAGTTAGCTGTTCCTTTGGAAGGCTCACATAGCTGTTCAGTCTTTGTGGTACGGTGCTGAGTTCACTGAATTCCTTCACATTGAAGGCAAAGGAAGGGTTGTGTGAAATGTCCTGAATCTGCCTTGGGTCTGCATCCTTGACTCCAACACCAAACGGTATGACTCCCCCTGTCTTCAATTCACCAGCAGGATCCTTCACATTATCCCTGGACCTGCCTCCAGCCAAAATGATCAGGAACTGAGGAACACTCTGGGAAGCCCGGCTGCCATAATTTTCAGACAAGATAGTATCTTTCATGAATTTTAGAGCAGATCCTGTGTTTAGACTGCGCCCACCAGCCGGTTGCATTCCGTTTACAGCTCTTATCACTTCATCTTTGGTCTTGTAACTGTTGAGGTAGAAGCTTGGAGTTGCTCTCTCACTGTGTTGAACCACTGAGACTCGCACCTTGTCCAACCCAATATCAAGTGGTTCAATTACTTTAATAATAAAATCCTTGATGTAGGCAAAATCTGCTCGAACATTATCTGTGCCATCAATGAGGAAGGCAACATCCCTTTCAGTGCCAGTGACAATATCTGGAGGAAACAAAACATGAATTAATGGCAAACTTTGAAACGTTCATTTTAATCATAGAAAAAGAGTCTTTCAAAACGTACCATCTCCCCCAGGGAATGTTGATGTTGTCACATCTGTATCTCCAACCACTGTTATTAACTTTGGCATGATTTGTTCAGCCATAGCTGGTAAATTTGAGAATGTCCGATCATGGTAGGCCAAATCTGGAACGAAGGCAACTGTTCTCAGTAGATCAGCATCTGCTTGACCAGAGCTGACTGTGAAGGTCAAAACCCCAGCCAATGCCAACTTATCAGCTACAGATTTGACTTCATCCTGGGCGGGACCAGCTGTGATCAGAACTAACACCTGCTGAACTCTCTGCCTCCTGCGTGACCCGGTTGATGGCTGGAACATGTTGGTAAGGGCATAATCTAAGGCAGCTCCTGTATTTAAAACTGAGCCTCCAGTGAGCCTGAGTTGGGATAATTTATCCACAACTTCTTGTCTGTTGCTGTAGCTGTTCAGATAAAATTCAATTCTTGGACTTTCGGCAAACTGCAGGAGACCAATCTGGACCCTGTCTGGACGTACATCCAGCTGGTTGACCACGTTGATGATGAAGTCTCTCACATAAGGAAAGTTACTACCAATGTAGTTTGAGCCATCCACAAGGAAGACGATGTCCCGGACCACTTTTTGAGTTTGCACAGTTGTTATCTCCACCACTAATGCAAAGAAAACCACAACAACAACAAAATTATCCTCTGTTAATATTTACACTTTCCAATACATGAGACTTACAAAGTTAAAGGATGTCCATTGAAACAAATGTGTGTAATTGTTAAAATCTTTATGGTTTTGGTAACCAGATCCTTACTGCAAACTGCAAACTGTCATCTTAAGTAATTTGCTACAACAGATATACAGTATGTACAAGAATGCTGCTATTGGTGTGACGTTACTGGTAGAAACATGATGAGAATAAAAACTATGACTCAGTTTTACGTCCAAGTTTAACACCCAGGAAAGGTGTTAACATTTAGCCAAGCAATAAAACAAGTTGGTGTAAGCTTGAACTACTTTCAGCAAGCCTGTTGGGACTGAATAAAAACACTGGAACTGCAACACACCAGTGAATGCATCCAACCTACCCTCTACATTGTGATGCTGTGGTAGCCCTCAAGCAATTTAACCCCTGATTAAAAGAAGTATGTGAATACATTATTCAAGACTTTATAATTGTATTTTCTTGTCCACAACAAGGAAGATTATTTTTTGAGGCTGGTGATGCCATGATCACTGGACAGTCTGTGAATGTCACCTTTTAAATGCAGTTTGAGCACCACATACTTGCTAAAGATGCTAATAATTATCATGCTTACAGTGTGCATCTTAAATTGCTTGAGATTGTAATTTGGAAAGAGGTTCCTTTGCATATGAAGGAGCCATCTTGTGCCAAATGTATGCATGTAAACCAACAGATTGAATCTTAGCATTGAGGGGCATCATCCTTTATGAGTGCTTTTAGAAGTACATTTTCTGATTTATCCATTTTGTGCAAGTTTAGCAGCCACATATTTAAAGTAAGTTTTCTTTTAACTATCATTTAAGTATTTTTATTCCCTATTTGTTGTTTTGGCATCTTAGAAACTTTTAAACTTACAGATCAAACTGAACTTCCCTGGATATATTTATCATTTCACATATTTCATTGGACATTTTACTACCAGAATGTATTAAATCCATTGAATGATCAAAATGATCAGTCTATTCATTCACATCGACTCTTCAAATGTATTTAAAGTATTACCTGGCTCAGTGGGTACTTCAGTCACCACCACTCCAGCTAGGGTTGTGAGGGCATCAACAATTGCTCCTGGGCTGCGCTGCAGTGCACGGAAGTCTCTCAGCATAAACACAATGCTGTCAGAAAAGGCAATCTTATTCAGCTCCTGCTCATCAGCTGCCCTGGAGCCTGCAGCTAGTGTCAGTACGCCCATTCTCTTAAGGTTATTAGCTGGTTCATCGACACTGTCACTGGACTTTTTACTGGTCATCAACAGTAAAACCTGTGGCACACCCTGTTGTATACGACTGCCCTTGTCAGCTCGCAGCATGTTCGTCCGAACAAAGTCCAATGCTGCTCCCATCTTAACAGTCTGTCCAGGTCTAGGTTTGATGTTTCCCAAAGCCCCAATTAATGACTCCTTGGTGCTATGGGTGTTGAGATCCATCTCCAGTCGAGGGACATTGCCGAATTGCGCCACACCCACTTGAACTTCATCGGGACCAATTGGCATGGCCTCGACAAACCGTCTGATGAACTCACGCACAGCGCTGATGACTGTTGAACCCATTGTACTGTCGATGAGGAAAATTATGTCTCTTTTTTCAACAGCCAATACTGAAGAGAAAAGAAAAGAAAAAACCTTCAGAAAAAAACAAACAAATACAAAATGTCATGACAATAAACCTAAGAGTTGTAGAATCTAGTAAAGCCGATCAGAGATAGTTTAAGACTTGTGATTAAACTAAGATTAACTGATTAGAAAAAGAAAGATATCTGGTGTGATGCCCCAGTAGGGTCATCAGATAACATTTTCATTGCATTGTTGTCATGGTGATTGTTTGGAGGTGTGTCTCTAACCTGTGATCTCATTGCAGCTCACTACTTAGAGTAGCTTGAAGTTACTTAAGCTCCTGCAGTCTCACACACTCACTGCTCTGACCTTCTCCACAGGCATACTGCATTTCATTTGAGAATGTTAGACCTACACACATGCTTACTCCACTCATGCACAATACACACTACTGACTTTACTGACTTCCACACCTCATACTGTAAATTAATTTGGTCTAATTGGAGTTAATAAAGAGTTTATCTAATTTGGTCTAATCTGGTTGAATAAAGAATTATTGAAACTTTAACTTGGTGTTGTCTCCCCTTTTTGTTGTGACTTCCTGAGCCGGGTCTTGACACTGGTCACAACAAGCACTCAAGATTTCAAGAGCCACTGCTTTAAATTGCATCAATTAAGTTTAAATATCTATAGTATTGCTATTATTTATCATACGATTTCTAATAAAAGTACATTGCACGTTAGAAACTACCCTGAGAGCTTCATTACAATGTAGGGTCTTTATGGTGGTCTTAATTATGCTACTGTATGTTGAATGAAACAAAACTGAAATAAATCCAAATAATGCCAAATGGTGGCCTAATGATTCACACTATAAAGCATCTTTTGCACTCTGTTGTTTTGTTTTGCTTATGTTGTCAAGAAATTAATTCTCCAAATGAAGTAATCATTACCAGACTTAATAGACACATAATATAAAGCTGTTTTTCGTCTTTTAAAAAAATCCATGATGTAAATACATTTGCACATATGGACAAAACTATGTGTGACAATGTATCAATTGTATGTAAATAACTAGACATGTTTGTTATGTCTTTAAAAATAGTTAATTTTTGAGTAAAAAAGCAAAAACTTAAAATTATATGAATAACTTTGAATTTGAATTTCCCTCGGGATCAATAAAGTATCTATCTATCTATCCAGCTATCTATCTATCTATCTAACTAAAACAGCTGCTATCAGGAAGTGATGAAAAACTGATGTCAATACATTTACATTTTTGTGTGTTATATAATACAAGACCAAGATGAAGAAGATTTGAGTATTTACCTTTAAGGAATTTTTACGGCTCTATTCATTTTTAGAGCAGAACACAAGAGCCGATCTATTTCCTGTGTATTTACCACCTGTGTTAAAAGCCTATGGCTTAGCATAACTTACCTGCAGATTTTTTCACATTCATTGTAAGCACACAGCTAAAATGCCCCACCAACATTTGCAGAAAAGTTACATACCTTCTGTGAACTCAGTGTGAACTACAATGGTGCGCTGGACCACCCCGTTAATGTAAGTGTTCAGCAGGTCACCCACACTTGACATTTCTCTGAAATCAGGGGCCGATAAGACAAAACTTTTATCTGTTGAAACAGCCTCCAAATCTTCAGTGGCAGAGTCACCAATCGCCAAGCTGAGTGTGAAAACGCCCGCCCTCTTAAGGGCCCGGTCACCTGCACCAGTATCATCAGTGGCCGGCCCAGCACTGATAATCAACAGTATCTGCGGCACACCATCCTCTGCCCTGCCCCCTGCTGTTGAGCTCAAAAGGCTTGCAGCCACTTCTTCCAAGGCAGCCCCCAGGTTAGACTCATCACCTCCTGAGTAGGTGAGGCCCTTCACAGCGTCCAGGAGTGATGATTTTCTCTCATAGCTATTTAGATAGAACTTTATCACTGGGTCGGTGTTGTACAAGGCCAAGGCTACCCGAACAGTGTCCCTGCCCACATCAAGGCCCTCAATGATTTGCACAACAAAATCCCGCACAAAGGGGAAGTTTGCTGCTCCAACGTTCTCTGATCCGTCAATTAAGAGAACTAGGTCAGCTGAATCTTGTGCTTTAAGGAGAGAGAGAGAGAAAATAAACAAAATGGAACTTGTGAAAGCGTTAACACTGTGAGAAAGAGACTGAGAAAACTTGTGCTAGCAAACACTGCATGAGTCAGGTGACATTCAAAGTGAACAAATGAATAACAACATTACAAAACACATCATACTGCATGTAGGCTGAACCAGGGAGGGTTCCAATAGTGAGCGAACTGATAAATATTTTCTATAGTTGTGATATACTGTATCACCCATCAGACAAGATTAAGCTTCATCCTGATGTTAAAAGTATTACTTGAATGAAACCTAAGCAATGATGGAAGAATCATTCAGCTAAATGTTCATGCCTTTTAAATTTAGGTCATGACGATGAAGTTTATAAAGGGCCAAATTCTGTTTCAATAAACAAAAATGTTTTACACCTTCAGAGAAAAGGTAAAACTATGACAAAATGAAAATCATAAAGGACTTAGAGTTATTTTCAGTGTTGCAAAATGTTTTAATTTTTTTTTGTTAAAATAAAAAATGAATTATAAAAAATTAAACTGATAGATAAACAGTACGTTTAATATTTCTGAAGGAAACTGATTTTTTTTTAAGCGTAGGAACTAAGAGGATAATTATAATTGATCACATTTAGTTACAAATTGATTCTGTAACAATTATTAGTAAGTATTAAATTGATTTATGAGTATACAAAAGTACAGAAACATCCAGACTTGGCAGGATGCATTTTGAATATTGAGAATAACATTTACTCAGTAAAATTAAAAGCTATCATGAGGACAAACTGTGACAACTATTGCAAGTCAAAAGTACAAAACTTTGTTGAAGAAGTTCTGAACTGAAGCTGTTTTACCAATATACCTTTAAAAACTGGTCTAATTAATTTGTGGGATATGACTCTCAAAATAACTCCACTGAGTTCAGCCTTCCCATGCAGACTCTTGTTATGGACCTCAGATCAAGTGACCAGTCATGAACCTGAGGGCTATCCTTGGTGCCCACGCGTTAACAGTACTTCAGAATATCTTACATGTGATGTAATGCCAAGTGATTTGCCAGATTTTAATTCAAATCATATTAATTTTGCACTATTTATACTTGTAGTTTAATGTTCTATGAAGTTTTACAGTTACCATAATTCCTTGACATCCACACATGTATGAAATATTCTCAAAGTACTATTTTCTGCAGGTCAAAGATGAGTCCAAACAGGTTCATCACTGTTTCAAATACATTATATTGCACATGTTTAACACAAATAGACATTGTGACTGATAAAGACATACATTCAAAAGGCAAGACACATAAGCAGTGGTGCACGGTTAGCTATTGTTAAAGGCTTTTTGTTTTGGCTTTGAGATGTTTAAAGGGCATCCCAGAAACCATGATCTTTTCCATCGATTTCTAAAGATATGTGGTTGATCTGAGTGGTGATTGTACTTCTTGATTTTATAGTGCAACTGTTTCTATATGTAATCTCATAGCTGTGCCTAATTCTAACAAGTGTTATCTGTAATGGGGTCTTCAGTAGTGACTGAGGATGTTGCTGTATGCCAACTATGAACTCAAATCCCTGCCAAATAAAATAAAACAAATGGTACAGCTGAAGTATCTTTCTTTTCAATCCATTCTCCATGTTTTTGTTCTGGCTTCCCACAAGCATATATCTTTCTTTGCTTTATTTCAACTATTTATGACTAACACCCTGATCTTTATCATAATATGATGTGAAAAAAATAACATGCATATCTTGTTGTGACTTTATAAGCATTAAGGGGATATTAAATGTGGTAAGACAAAACAAGTGGTGTTAATTTTTGCAGGTGGGTAGTGAAAGGTTATTGTGGTTAAAAGTACTTGATTGTGTTAATTATAAAATCAAGTTACAACCACAGAAGCAGCAGCTTCTTACTGCACATGTAGACTATTAGTATGGTAGTGAAACTGGTCCCATTTCATTACCTGTCCCTCCTCCAGCCACAGGGGCCTCATTTGCCACAGGAGCCCCCCCTGACCGGGTCACTGCACCACAAAGCCCCACTACTAAATCTTGGATTATATCACGCAACCTCAGGAAAGTGTCTACATTGAGAACATGAGTTTCATGGGGTTGGCTAGCCATCTCCCTGAGCTCAAAGTCCACTGCATCCTGAACTCCGACTGCAAACATCTCCACGCCTGCCAGCCGCAGCACCTGAGCTGGCTCAGCCACGTCATCCTGGGAGCGACCGTCTGTCAAAACCACCACCACCTGGGCCACTCCGTCAACAGCGCGGCTGCCCGAGGCAGTGGTCAAGTGTGTACGGATAAGGAAATCCAAGCCCAGGCCGGTCCGTGTTCCCCCACCACGGTACGACATAGTCTTGATGTGTGCCAGGACTCCCTGTGCTGTGGGGTAGCTGTTCAGCTGGAACTCGGTTTCAGGCCTGTTACTGTACTGCACAAGGGCGAATTTAAACCTGTCCCCTCCAGCTTGGTGTAGTGCTTTTGTCAAATTGTAAAGAAAATGTCGGACATGCTCAAAGTTCTCCTCTCCAATACTCCAGGATGAATCCACTAGAAAGTATATATCAGCTGCCAACCCTTGGGCACAGTCTTCAGAGGAATGCGTTTGGAGGACAGAAGTGAAGACCAGTGAAAAGATGCTTGGTGTTTGGTTCCACAGTAATGTTTCAGTGCCAAATACTAACACCATTGCACAACTGACTTGTTTAGGAAAGTCTGATAGCATATTTCTGCGTTGTTTATCAGAGGCATCTGACTGGACTTGAACTCTTAAGGACCCTATTCTATTATTTGGACCAACGTAGGGATACATAGTTTGTGTTTGGATTTTAAAATATATTTACATTCATTTTAAATAGCAAATATACCAACAGTGTTTCTTTGTGTTTAGTTTTTGCAATTACTTTAAAAAATTCAAATTCCCTCATATTCCTTTCTCACATTCTATATGAGCAGGTGTTAATATATCTTATTTTAATGGAAATTCAAAAATGAAAAGTTTTTCTCCTCTAGGTTGAAAAAACATTTAAAACAGCAACATCTGCATAATTGGAACGCTGTGCTGACGGAAGCTGAGGTTAACTTGGTTCGACTTACCTTCCTGAGCCTGGAGGTTGGGGAGGAGTCCTACAAAGAGGACACCCAGGAGGGCACATAACGGTAACAACCGTGGCCTCCTCATCTTCAATCACCAGCACAGCAAAGGGGGAACCTGTAAAACAAGAAACAATGTGACGTAATTATGCACCAGCGAACACATGAAGGAGCCCAATCCTGTTATCAAGACCTTCCCATTACAAGCCCATTCAAATCACAACTTGGCAAATGTGCCAGATTGGACTTTTGCCAAATGCGTTATCGTGCTGTAAGAATCCTTTTAGTGTAAATTTTGAATACTGCTCTGAAATGTATTTTTCAGTGTATTTCTTAAGTGTTTTTAAAGTCAGATGACATGAGGTATTTTCTCATATGCACTACTAAAAAATAAAAATTCCTAGAAAATATCAGGCATGCTGCCCCCAAATTCTTTGTGACTTGCTTGTTCACACCCTTGAAAAACGAGGTCTGCTCTAATGAAATGTCTTCCATTTCACAAACAGCTTCTTGGTCATCAAGTTGTTGAGTGTCCTATGAGATATGGTTTGACCTCCCTGTGTTAGGCTCTCTTGACTTCTCTGAATTCTTCACACAGCATTGAATACGCTTGTTTTCACTTGCCAAGAGAGCAACATTTAAACTTGGACACACTGCACAAGAGAAAAAACATGTGTCCTGTCAATTTTTCGGCAAAATATACTGCAAGTACTGCTTCAGTTTTGCTTCACATTCTTTGTGTGGTTTACTTTAATTTTAGGCATAAGCATGTAGATCCTGCACAAGCTTTAAAAAAACAGGCATGGAAGGCATGAGTGGATGCTTCAGCACATGTTGCTGTATCAGTAGCAGATTTTGAGCACAGGATGGTAATGGAAGAAAACCCCCTGTTAAATTTGCCAGCCAATGTGTTTTTGTAGTTAACTCTGCCTGGAAAGGATTTAGTTTTCCAACTCAGACTACAATGTGCTCTTGAGAGGGCTTTTGGATGAAAAAATACCCAATCAAATATATATCTATGTGAGGACTTTCTTCACGCTTTTGATCCCATGTCTGTATTCCTGTAACTGTCACTGATACACTTTGATCTTTAAGTCGTGTTAGGACTGCCAGCCCACTTTTTTAGTTTCTGCATTTCCATATTTTCTTCAGATTGATTAAAGCTACTTTAAGGATACTTTTAGTATGTGTCAATTGTTGTCAAGCACTGTGGGAAAGCTACATACCTTATCACTTTTCCGATAGTATGAAGGACAATCAAAGACCAAACTCTATGGATAGATACTAAGAACCTACAAGAGCAAAACAATTTATCAAGAAATATCTCACATACAGCATTGGGAAGTTTATACATCAGGCCTCGATACACTAGTCACTGGCTTGACCTTCAGTCTGCAACCCTTTGATTTGTGTCATCCCTCCTCTCTCAACTGTATTTCATGTCTCTCTTCATCTATCCAGTCTCAGAAAGGCAGTGACAAAAAAAGACAAATCTCACTGCTGCATGACGAGCATATATAGCCACTAACACCTATACCAAAGCAACACATCCAGATTGGGAATGTCTGGAAACACAGATCAGATCTGATTACTTTGAAGACCAAAAAGTTGGAAAAACCTGATTAAAAAAGCAAATCTGTTTTTTCTGTGAAAAGACGAAGAAACCTTAATTTAACCTTTGACCTAAAGTCTAAATCCTCTAACAACACCTACAGAAGCAGGGATCGCCCTAGATTTCCTCACTCTCTCAATGTTCCTCAGAAGAGGCAGACGTGCAGGGAACACACACATACGCATAACCTATTGTGTCTCAGACCAACTTGCATTGTTAATACGGAGCACAAGAGACGTTTCCTTTCAAGACACTGAAGCAAGCCTAAGCCTCAAAACTGCGATCCAAGGAAAACTCCACCCTAATGCCACCCAACGTTACCCAAAGCTCCAACTGTGATCTGTCTGACTCACCTCTCTGCTATTACTAATGCTTTTATACGTAGGTATTTAAATACTGCATAAAACTCAAATGACCTGCTGAGATGGCAGAGAGGCAGACAGCTCTGAGAGGCTTTTTAATAGCCTCTTCGCCTGCTGGCAGAGACGCAATAAAGAGCGGCTCTGCTGTAATGAGCTCTATGAGAAAAGTGTTGTCTGGATAATTAGAGATGTGCTTTGTGGGGAATAACAATGATTTTTTAGAATTTGTGAGAAGTTGACATTTCCTGATAGATGGCTGTAAGTGTTTTTGGACCGCAGGAACTTTTTCATAGTTCTAGAAACTGTTGGAACCCTCCCTCTTTTTAGGAACTATGAACTATTTCAGTTCCTAGAATAGTGTTTAGAGGAACGCTGCCTCGGAGTAGGTACCATGGCGGTGCAAATGCAGACAGAGAAAGAGTCCCCATGGTATGTAGTTCTCAGGGAACACCATAGTGGATATTTGCGCTTCAAAAATTCCCCAGAACTATTTGGTCCAAAAACACCTAGTGTAAACGAAGTTAGGTTAAATTTGACTCCTTTGTGCATCTGTTATCAGGAAATGTGAGAAAATAACTATGACAACACTGGTAAATTAATAACCCTCTCTTGTGTAAAAAGCAGTCTTAACAGTGTATAAGATGTTGCTTTTGGGGTGCTTGTGGCCTATAGTGGTCAGTCAGCAGATCCAGGGATCCACCTGGTAACTGTTGCATCAAAAGCCTGCTGCCTTACTTTACAGCCATCAGTGCCACAAGCAAAGCCAGAAAAACCTAGTCCGTAATAAAAAGTGTGATCTAATTTGGTTAAAAACTTTACAACTCACTCATTGTTCTTGTGATTACAGCCATAAAAGCTCAGAGAGATAAAATCCTGACATGCTTAGTTAAAAACAGGCCTAACAGCGTGCTTAAACACTAAATACAACATTGTGTGTTTCACTTTTGCATTGTGAAAGATTCTTTGCCAACAATACATACCAGAATTATTTTCCCTCAGTTGTGGAAAACCTCTGGACCAAGTTACCCTATGATCCTACCAAATGTAAGCACTTCAATCCTCTTCAGGAGTCAAAGAGCCCTTTCATGAGGATTGGAAAAGTCTGGTCAGCTAGACTTGAATCAAAGCCATCCACAATACACAGCAATAATGAATTATAAACACATGGCTGTCGTGTCTAATGCAACACAGCAATGAGTTGCATTCATTGAAGTCAACGTGTCCAAACTTTTCTGTTTTTCTCCACTTTGAAATTCAAAAAGAAACTCTCACTTCAGTCCCTTTTTAAGACAGAAAGCACTGACCTAATAAAGCTCGACAAACAACCTCAGTGATGCTGGGCCTTTAGCTGAAGACTGAGGAAAGTTACTGAGCTTTTCAAAGGCAGCTTCAGAGCTGTGTCACACCAAATATTGGTGCCAATTATTCTCACTCTTCACCAAACATCTACATTTGCCCCACTGTCAACTGGGAGGGATCATTCAAAAAAGTACTATACATTTATAACCTCTCCTCTAAAAACTTCTCAACAAAAAATGATTTCAACAAAGTATAATCTATGTTTAAAAGTATTGTGTCCAGAAGTATTGTGTACATTCACTCTTCAGAGAGAGGTATCCCTGAGGTCCCCAAATGCTGTCACATTCCAGATATAGTCCTGCCAAAATGACCAAGTCTCTTTACTTCAAGGAAATCCAACCTCTTTTGGTCACTTCAACAGATGTTTGTGTTCTCCACTCATGCTCATGTGATTTCAGGTCACTCAAAAGCCACTTCTTTCTCTGCAGGGTTTGCCAAACCTGGCCAGTGGTCAACACTATGGTTTCCCCTCGCAGCCACAGAGGAAAACACAGCAGCACAGCGGAGTCTTGTTTTCTCTGATACCAGAGTGCCAACACAATTGCAGCAAAGGGAGTTAGACTGCAGAGGAAATTAAGAAAAGAAACTTAATCATCAGTCATCACCGGATCCAAATTTTACTCCAGCGAAAAGCTGCATTTTCTTTCTATTTGCCACTAGGGGGCTGGACTCTGCAGCAAGCTGTTAACCCTTTATGATCCAGAGTTTTTATGGAAAACGTGACTAAGTTGCCTTTGACCTGTGAAATCAATCTCTTGGTTCTCCCCAACTCCTGAGTAATTGATCGGAAACTTTAGCAACTCAATGCTCCTTTATGCTTCCTGTGCTATTTTTTTGTGGGAAAACGTGTGAAGAGGAACTATCAGAGGTTAATGAGAGCATTGAGACTGAATCAAAACAGTTAAATGGAGAATGCTCTTTGAGAGTTTTTTGGATCTTTAAGGACAAGTGTTAAGCCTTTTAATAAATCTCTGTGCCACAGTGAGCTGCACAATACATGAAATTGAAACCTGTAGTATAAGATCCCCTCTGATTAATGTACCCCCTGATCTACATAAGCTCTACAGAGCATGACACATTTATACTCAAATGTTGATCAAAGACAAATCAAAATCAGCAAAAAGAATTTAAGAAACTAAGCATCTGATTTATTGTAAAGCTCAGTAACAGTAATCAATGAGTCCTACAGATCTCAGGTATTCAGGAAGCTTCTCGCACAAGGGGGAAGATTTCAAATTTAGGCTGTTTCACTTGTCTCACTTTTGATCCCGAGAATTCTGGTAGCTGGTATACGAACCATGTCAGGCAGAGAAATAAAAAACAAAGGAAGTCAACACAAGAGGTATTTTAATTTCCTCTCCTTACATTTTTTTTTATCAGGGCTTCACCCAGATCACCTGCATCAAACAGGAATTTCCAGGGAAACAACCAAAATGTTAGGCTTTATCTCTTCATCTTTTTCTCAGGCAGTCACTTAAATCATGCACCATATGCATCACCCAAACACAGATGCCACCGCTCCAAAACTGGCAAAAACCAAATAAGTAATGAGCACGTTTATGACAGTACTAAAGTTTTTGTTTAGAGAATAACAAACTGACTGAGCCAACTAAAGCAGCAATTGTATTGCCCTCAGATTATTTCAGATCAGTGTCCTCTGCTTAAATAACTTTTTGGGAAAGTTTAATTTTTGCTCTTTCCACTAGGAGTCACCAAAGTCTGACAATTTTTTAATTTACATAGAGTCTCTTTGAG